AAACAGACATTGAATGATTAAAAGCCACATCCTATATGAGCTCGATGAAGAATTTTACCTGAAGAAGCGTGTGACAACCCGATATTTCAACTCTTTGTAATGGCCTAATAGGTCAAGTATTGTAAACATTTTTGAGTTAATAAAATTAACTTTGATAATAAAATGTCCAAAAAGTTTCTATTTAAATTCTTCTATGTTTAAATATCATTAAACCATGATCGTACGTAAAAAGAACGCCCAAATCCGACTTCGTATAGTGAAATTATGATTTTTCCAAGTTCAGCTTAGCAACAGACAGCTAAAAACTCGAAACGGAGATCGAGCGACATTTGGCCGGAATGACCTAAACGAGAATCGAAGGTCTCGACAATGGTATTTCAACGGTAAAAAGTCTGGCAAAAACCAACGTCAGATAAAGAAGTTATGAATTTTTAAAGAGATTCCTTAATCACGTCATTTTAATAAATAAATAATAAAAATAATTTCGGAATTTGCCAACGGAATCTAAACAAAAGTTGTAGATCGTAGTCTCACCTTCGCGGGGATATAAAGAACGTCAAAAACGGAGTTTGTATGAAGGAGATATGAATTTTTGAAGTTTGATAAATAATTTATATATAATTTTTATTAAAAATTCGGTATTATCCGAAGAGGAGTCAGCCTAGGGCAGAGGTACGCGCCGCGTACCCTCGTACGCCCCGCGTACTCGAGGACATGGCCTCGGATCGTCCACGTCGCCCTATGCGAAGCTACCTGACCCGCCGTCTCATCCGACCCGCCCCATCCGAAATACGTAAGCGATGACGTACGGGTACGCGCTGCGTACGCCCGTACGCCCCGCGTTCGGAGGCGGTTCAGCACCCCTATAAAAGGGATGCGAGCCTTTTCGAAAAATTTGTTCATTTTCTCTCCTTCTTTCACGATCTTGCCTCGATTTCCGTGCCCGTTCAAACCCGAAGCTCTGGTCTTTTTGCTCAAGTCCCGAGGGTCGATTTTACTCCCGAGATTCCCGAGAATCCCGATAAAAATCCGTTTCCCGAGACAAAACTCTGCCCGGTTTTTCGATCTCGCTATCTTCAAAACTTCCAAGTGAGTTCATACCTCTTTATTCATCCTTTGAAATGCTTTTAAATGTTTTAAATACTTTATGGGGGGGATACAAGTTAAACACTTATAGTTATTGCTTCGATCACATGTGATTAATAACTAGGAAACCAATGATTTTATCACTGTTCAAACTGTTTTACTTCAAAATGTTTTACAAACTCTTTTACTTATCAAATGTTTTATTGTAAACTTTGTTTTACTACTTATAAATTTGCATGCCCATATATGTATAGATGTATAAATAATGTTTAAAGGGCTTAGGAAAGCCACCTGTCCTATTTCCTTTTCCTCGATTTGGATGTGGTCTGGTGGAATTTCGGGTGACCATCCGAGGGTCGTTTCAATATTAGTTATATATCATATATACATGTATAGACATAAAAGTAATTCCATATTCATACTTATCAGCACATCATTAGTAAGTTACCATCGGGGTAACACGGGATCATACTACTACAATTTCTAGATCAACGAGTCCGTTCATTCAGGAGTCAATAGTTATTACTAAGAGAACATATACAACAATACTAGAACAAGCAACATTGCATTGCATATACACGAATACGTTAACAATTGTGATCCACTATATGGGAGCATGTCTTAATTGTCATGACCCGAGTTGTAGCCAGAGTCTCTTGGAGGGAGAGCGTGAGTTTGCGTATAGATCTATACTGGATTGACTATCCTACACCTCGCTGCTAGCTACAGTGGGACCGACAGGTCTGCGGGTGCCAAACGTCATACCTTATTTTTCGACTATACATTGTCGATGTTACCAGTCGATAGTATGGTGCAATTTATCACAGGTTCAAACGTTTTGATAACAAACCTCGACACTAAAATATTTATGAATTTACCAGCTTAATGCTGATAAACTCTTTCAAAATACCTTGTATTCTCAGGTCATCAGTAGTCAGGTACCGATGCTAGCTTTTGAGAAGATGGAGCGCATTTAAGACTCATCATACTATTTTGATTTAAATTATATTTTTGGTGTCTAAAACTGTACGGAACACGCTTGTATTAAAATTTTATAATTAATGCAATGGATGATGTTGTTTGCTTATTTACATTTACTGTATTGTGATACTTTAAAGAGATTCCTTAATCATGTCATTTTAATAAATAAATAATAAAAATAATTTCGGAATTTGCCAACGGAATCTAAACGAAAGTTGTAGATCGTAGTCTCACCTTCGTGGGGATATAAAGAACGTCGAAAACGGAGTTTGTATGAAGGAGATATGAATTTTTGAAGTTTGATAAATAATTTATATATAATTTTTATTAAAAATTCGATATTATCCGAAGAGGAGTCAGCCTAGGGCAGAGGTACGCGCTGCGTACCCTCGTACGCCCCGCGTACTCGAGGGCACGGCCTCGGATCGTCCACGTCGCCCTATGCGAAGCTACCTGACCCGCCGTCTCATCCGACCTGCCCCATCCGAAATATGTAAGCGATGACGTACGGGTACGCGCTGCGTACGGCCATACGCCCCGCGTTCGGAGGCGGTTCAGCACCCCTATAAAAGGGATGCGAGCCTTTTCGAAAAATTTGTTCATTTTCTCTCTTTCTCTCACGATCTTGCCTCGATTTCCGTGCCCGTTCAAACCCGAAGCTCTGGTCTTTTTGCTCAAGTCCCGAGGGTCGATTTTACTCCCGAGAATCCCGAGAAAAATCCGTTTCCCGAGACAAAACTCTGCCCCGGTTTTTCGATCTCGCTACCTTCAAAACTTCCAAGTGAGTTCATACCCCTTTATTCAACCTTTGAAATGCTTTTAAATGTTTTAAATACTTTATGGGGGGGTGGGGATACAAGTTAAACACTTATAGTTATTGCTTCGATCACATGTGATTGCATTAATCACATGTGATTAATAACTAGGAAACCAATGATTTTATCACTGTTCAAACTGTTTTACATCAAAATGTTTTACAAACTCTTTTACTTATCAAATGTTTTATTGTAAACTTTGTTTTACTACTTATAAATTTGCATGCCCATATATGTATAGATGTATAAATAATGTTTAAAGGGCTTAAGAAAGCCACCTATCCTATTTCCTTTTCCTCGATTTGGATGTGGTCTGGTGGAATTTCGGGTGACCATCCGAGGGTCGTTTCAATATTAGTTATATATCATATATACATGTATAGACATAAAAGTACTTCCATATTCATAATTATCAGCACATCATTAGTAAGTTACCATCGGGGTAACACGGGATCATACTACTACAATTTCTAGATCAACGAGTGAGTTCATTCAGGAGTCAATACTTATTACTAAGAGAACATATACAACGATACTAGAACAAGCAACATTACATTGCATATACACGAATACGTTAACAATTGTGATCCACTGTATGGGAGCATGTCTTAATTGTCATGACCCGAGTTGTAGCCGGAGTCTCTTGGAGGGAGAGCGTGAGTTTGCGTATAGATCTATACTGGATTGACTATCCTACACCTCGCTGCTAGCTATAGTGAGACCGATAGGTCTGCAGGTGCCAAACATCATACCTTATTTTTCGACTATACGTTGTCGATATTACCAGTCGATAGTATGGTGCAGTTTATCACATGATACCTTAATATAAACCCGGTTTAAGGTAGTTAGTATAGCAGTAGTTCATATAAATCAAAACTACCGTACTACAATAATTTACCCATTACATTTTGGTGATAACCTCACTTAAACTTTAATGTACAAACTATATTTTGTTAAATGATAGTTACACTTGGGAAATTACACACTTTTACATCAAACGAGCATACAAAACAGTTAAGCCTTGGTAGAGGGCTACTTTAACAGAAAATATAGGTTTTTCTGAGAGATTCAAACTTTTACAAACACTTACATACATTTACAACTCATACTTGCGACAGGTTCAAACGTTTTGATAACAAACCTCGACACTAAAATATTTATGAATTCACCAGCTTAATGCTGATAAACTCTTTCAAAATAACTTGTATTCTCAGGTCATCAGTAGTCAGGTACCGATGCTAGCTTTTGAGAAGATGGAGCGCATTCAAGACTCATCATACTATTTTTATTTAAATTATATTTTTGGTGTCTAAAACTGTACGGAACACGCTTGTATTAAAATTTTATATTTAATGCAATGGATGATGTTGTTTGCTTATTTACATTTACTGTGTTGTGATACTTTACATGACGTCCTCCGCCCTAGAACGTTTCCGCCATTCTTGGTTTTGGGGTGTGACAAAGCGTGTTAGGGTTATAGTGTAATCGTTAACAAAAATTAGATGAATGCATGCACCATAAATACTGACCCTGGAAACAATGACGAGTGGACATGCCTAAGTCATTCATACAAAAGACTAAGCTAAAATCCCAATGACAGAACATCTAAATACATAACGATCTCCCCCTTCGTATTAATTGGAGCTGTAGTCTATCAACCAGTTATAAGCTTCTGCACTTCATAGATTTCTGGAATAAAGCTCAGCAGTACTCTACAAACTTGAAGATACCACAAAATCATATCTGTGAAGCACTTAACGTCAGCCTTTGGTTGCCCTTGTACTTGGTAACCAACTCCAAAATGAATTCCAAACAAGAAGAAGGATCCAAATGTTTGTCATCAAGAAAGAAGTAGGACTTTCGAAATCCAACTCTAGTTCTTTCTCTAGACTGATACATTACGAACCATCCATCCTTGTATATCTTCCACTGCTTTAATCGATCAAGGTCTTTCAGAGCTTCCTTTGGAACAGTAGTCAGCTTCTTCCTCAAAACAGTGGCGATATCCTCATCCACGTCACCAACTTCTTGAATGTATGACTTCATCATCAATTAGAGATGGGACATTATAGGTTCGTACTTCGGTTTCTCTCTCAGTAACATGTTGTATAGCACGATCTAGTCATAAGGATTCAGATAGGGCAAATCTGCGAGTGTGAATTTGTAGACTTGACTATCCAAACCTCTCGCTACTTTAAACTTTGCATTAGGAAAGCTATCAGTCTCGATTGGTCCAGTGACTTTCACAGCATTAATCTTGTTCGGATACCAAGTTTTATACTGGGGCTTCATGTACTTCAAGTAGAACGAGAACAACATATGATCAACACCACTGTCTGTGATAGGAGCATCTGAAACATTCAAGAAAGCATGAAACCTAAATACTATAAGAGTGATGGGAAGATCTAGTTGTGAGGTTTGGGTGTTTTGAATATCAAAGGATGCAACTGGATCAACCAATATTGACTAGGAAAATTCACAGTGTCAGGTTGAATTTGATTCATGGTCCACTTCGGAAATAATAGCATTTTTGTCTAAAGTGTAGCCTGAGCTTCTTTTTCAGCCTTTTCTTTTTCCTCATCCTCCTTTACGATTCATTGAGTTTCATTCAATTCAGCATCACAAGCCTCCTGCCTTTTAAATTCAGCTTCATCAGGCTCTTCGTCTTCATCATTGTCAATTATGGGCCCTTCGTCTTTCATTTTCTCCTTGCCCTTAGGTTCTTTCTTGACAATGGGATTGACTGGGGCTTTAGGGGATTCCTTTAATATACCCTGTCCTCCTTGTTTTGGATCACAACTTTGAGGCGAAACACCCTCCAAGCGATGAAGCATCGCAAACACCGGACATAGCTTTTCAGATAAATGCTTCTAAATTGTGATTGATATCATTGGGTCCCTAGTCTCAATGAGATCTAAGAGTAAGCCTGGAGAATCATAAATGCAGCTTCGCATAGCAACCTTCTCAGATAACAAATCCTTGACCTTTTTCTCAACATTTTCGAGTTTAATCCCCAACACTTTAACCTTTTCTATCTTCATGAAAAGAGCATCCATCACCTTACTTTCCATCACTAAATCATCTTGAATTTATGAGATCTACGAGGGGATGGTGGTTTGAAACTATTCGTGAGCCTTCTGTAAGCTGGTGCAATGATCTTGCCAATTATCCTTCTCATCTTTAAGCAAGGAACCCAAATTCTTTAGTGTTGTATTTGTGGAGACAATACTGTTGTTGTGAGTGGTTTGGTATTTTTCCATAAAATTTGTGGTGTCTGAAATTAGTTTATCACATTTTTCGGTCATGGTTTTGCATACTTCAGCAGAGTCAGACACAACCCTGTTCATCTTCGCATCATTATATGTATGATCCTTCATGATACGCTTAAGTAAAGATTCAACTGTTGATTTGAATAAAGCTTCAAAAGAGGAAGCCTTTGAAGTAAGAAGAATCTATTCAATCTTCTCATGAAGCGACTTAAGTTTCCCTTTCATGACAGTGGCTTCATCTTCACTTTCATTCCTTATCTGAAATGGACTTTAGGTGAATCCGCAAAGATCTTCATTATCATCATCATCCCCAAAGATCATGTTTGGATAATCAGTGCAAATGAAGGAGATGGGAGGTGAAATATGTGGTGCAAATCCAAAAGTTTTAGCCCTCGTATTGGTTATGCTGACTGAAACTGCAGGAGTGGCTGAAGTATTGGGTAGGAGTCTAGAAGCAGTGAAGACTAGAGTTGAAAATGGAATAGTTGTTTGTTGAGATGAAGAAATGGGTGGAGGGCATGGAGAAATAGTGATGGGTGTTGAAGAATGTTTTGGGTGAGGGAGTAGGAGAAGGAACAGAGTCATTGAAATATTGGTTTACCTCTGGGTTCATAGTTTTTCCTTCGTTATGAATAGGAGACTCTTCATTGTGAACATTCTCTTCCTCATTACGAACAAGTTGGTCTTGTTCAATCCGAATGTCCAGTTTAGTCACAGAGTCTGAACCTTTAGTCACAGTTGGTGTATGAGACTTTCTCTTGCGGGCAGCTTGTTTTCTTCTTTTCGGAATAGCTATAGAAGACGTTATTGATGCCTTTCGCATTTTAGGTGAAGGTTTCGTAGCATCGGATGGACCTTCCTTGGCAGCAGTCTACTTCTCCCCTTTCTTAGAACCCTTGCCCCCTTACTTTGGTTTGACGAAAACATCAATATAGGGTTGCATTTCTGGATTAAGTGGACGAAACCATGAAGAAGAAAGTTTGCAAAAGCCTTCCAAATATTTGCTTGATGCAGGCATGTCACAAAACATAACCTCTGGTATGGATCCAATGAAGGAAAATTTTGAGTTATTTGCAATGATTATCCCATTTTTATGGAAAGTTTAGAAAGAGAAAGTAAGAGCGTCATTCATCGTTGGGATGTTGTACTTGACAATACCCCTTCGAACAATCAAAAACCAGAAATCGTGCACATGATATTTCATTATGACGAGTTGTTGAGAGAGTACTCTGTATCACCTCAGCCCAAAGAACAACTTCAAAATCCACATTCAGTCCTGTATAGATGCCATAAAGAAGATTAAAGAACAACTTACTAGATCATTCTTACCCTGTAATCATTTCAGAGAACCCTTTGAACAAAAGAGTGAATAAAAGTTCCATTGATGGGGTAGATTAGGTTTCCATAATTTTGAGACAGTGGATAGGGTCTCCTTATACCCCATTTGATAAAACATCTCCAAGAGAGAAGCATTGGAGATTGATTTTGGGTTGATCATGTCTTCTGATTGAGGAATCCATAGGAGAGAACATAGTCAAGATTTGGTGATTGATGTTTTCTGATCGTGGATATCGAATATAATTTTGTTTTCCTCCTTGATGTAGCTTGCTGTAGAATACGCCTTGGACAGTAGGGACATCAAAACATCCTCCATTTTTGTTAGAGTGTGAACCAGCAGAGAATATTTGAGACACTCAACAATCGACAGGAGATATAGCTCATACTTGCAGGGTTCCAGATCAATGATGAGATTCTGATTCGGTTTGACAGTCTGAAGAGTAGAATGAACAGTTTGATTGTGAGCTGATGATGAAGTTGTTGGGTTTTGAGCAACCTAACACTCCTAAGTGTACATGCAACCCTAAATACCTTGGATCTATGTTTTCTCTATTATACATGCAAATATCAACTTTCCAAGGTATTGTACTATTCTAGCATACAAAACTTTGAATAACACAAGTTAGAATAACATACCTTTTGTTGGTGCTTGTCTTCATGAAGCTTGAGTGCCTAGTGCCCCAAGTGTGACACCTCAAATGGTTCACACAACACCATAAGCACTTGGAATAACTTAGAGAGAAATTAGAATACTTCATGAAATCGTTTTGCCCTCACCCTCACACATAGTGTACGATTTTTGAGCCATGGGATTCTTAAATATGGTGGCTATTAGGGTTACACCATGTAACTCGTGACTTTACCCATTCCTTATGCTCCATGGATTTTAACCTCCATGGAGCATCCATGGGTCACCCCATGGACTTAGTCCAACATAAGGAATCTTGGATCACAAGCCCACATATATAAGAATGAATGATTTACACAATCAACCCATATATTTAATTAGTCTCCTTTTGATCATAATTAATTCCAAATTAATTCTTGATCAATACTAATTAAATAACCTTATTAATATATTAGAACTTATAATATATTAATAAACCTTAAGTGTTATTTCTCTCATTTTAGTCTATCCAAGTGCATGATGTCATGCAACCCAAATGGACCATGCTGGGTCGGGTCAAGTTTTACCAATTATAGTTATGGACTTAGACATTAATCCAACAGAAGTAGCCATTGTTGAAGCTTGAAGAAGATGATGAACAATAGAGAGTGTTTTGTCTGTTAGATATCTTTTGAGAAGATATTGAAAATGATAATGAGAGAGGAACCGTCAAAACCTTTATATACCATTCAATTTGCGAGGAAAATCTGGAGAGAAAATGCATCATGTACTGAAACGTCGCCTAAAAAAGCGCGACTTGACAACTATAGATGTTAGACCCGTGCGTCATATGGCAGAAAACAGCTGGCCGTTCAAAATTCTACACACACCCTTTTGAATTCATATCATCAGAAATTGTTGCGTCATCATCCACCTATCGCAGTTAAACATGCTTTAACCCATCTATTACGAACCTTCGTTTTAGGAAAATTTGGGCTATACTGCGAACCTGAAAGTATAAGAAATAACCATGAACAAGACTTTTAGAAGATCACAAGGACCTTCGTGAAGATAAAGAAATAAATCAAAGTATATTTTGTAAATTTTGTGATGTCTCTATAAGGACACAAAACTGTTGATCTCGGGCGTAGATCTCTTCCTTCAAAGTCAAGATAGACTAAGAAGTGTCTGTGTGATTTCCCGTTGAAATACAATCGGATGTTTGATAAGAAACATTGAAAGGCATCATTTAATTCGGCTCATTGGGTGGCTAACTCTCCAACCAAACACCAAACATAATATAAGTACGAATGTCCGATGAAGTACTCGTGTAACTAGTGTAGTCAGTTGAACGAGTAGGTTTGGAATTATTTTAGTGACTAGATGAGAGTGTGAAAACTGAAAAAAAAATAGTAATAATAAAAAATAAATAAATAAACTGGATCTTATATGAAGAAGTGACTTGGTGAAAGAACACTTTATAAAGATCTCGTAAAAGAGAATCAGATTTCTTGGTACAAACCACGAAGGTGGATTTCGTTAATTCCATGGTGAATAGCTAGAACAATTAAATGTTCTCCATCAATTCATGTAAGTGTGTTGGATTTTGGGTTTGACTCAGCTCATGGTGAATGTAGCTAAGATCATTAATTCAGATGTTTTGTAACCATAAAACTCAATGCTATAGTTGAGAGTCTCAATGGTTACATTTATGAGTATGAAGGCAAATGTGGAATAGTGAAGGTGGTTCCAGAGAAGTTAACGTACCTCTACTATGCGATTGTGACCAAACAGATAACTCTTAACTTAAGATGAGAAGAGTAAGGTTGCTCATGACTGATGTGAATTTAACATTCTAGTTTGGAAGAAATGAATGGTAGATTCGATTCATTAATGCTTATATAGAGTCTATTAAGGATTCGGACAACATGCAACAACATGCTTCTATGGACACTTAGCTAATACATAGATAAATAGAATTATACATGCCCCTTCACATGAATTGAGATATAATAGGAACCTGTTCCTTCTTGATATTTTTAAGGTATTTTTGAAAGTTTTGAGCTTGGTGAGAAGAGAAAAAACATAAAAATAAAAGAAATTCAAATAAAATATTATTCTCTTTAGTGATTTTCTAAAAATTAATTAAAAATTAGAAAATTAAAATCGAAATAAAGATAAGAAATAATATACATAAAGTACAAAAGGATATTTGATGAATCTGAACCACGAATGAACAGTAGACTGCGAAATACTACGAACATTTGTACTAATTCGCAGAGTTAAAGAAGACTGTGAATGAACAGTGGACTACGAACTACTATGAACGCTTGCACCAATTCTCAGTGTCAAACATTATATTTGCGAGAGTGTATTTGGAAAGGATTCTACTTCCATCATTACAATGCCATGAAGGATCCTATTGAAGGTTGTTTCTGTTAAGGCATTTTTGAATATATCAACCAACTAATCTGCGCATCATACGAAATGAATTTCAACTTTTCCATCTTCTACATGATCCTTGATGAAATGGTGCCACAATACTATATGTTTTGTCTTAGAGTGTTGCACTGGGTTGTGACATATGCAAATTACGCTTTTAGAATCACAATAGAGCGGGATCCGCTTCATGTTCATGCCATAGTCTCGTAATTGACTTTGAATCCATATAACCAGAGAAGTACAAGATGCAACAGAAAGGTACTCAGCCTCGGCTGTTGACACTACTCAAGAGGTAAGCATCCAAACTAGCTTTTGTTATATAGCTTCAATTGTATGCTATCTAGGGTGAATGCTTTGGAAAAACCAAATGCATGTATAATTAGAGAAAACATATATCTAAAGCATTTAGGGTTGCATGTGCACCATAGGAGTGTTATACTGCTCAAACCCCAACAATAGGTCCATGTAGTACTTGGTTATAGTGTGGTGGCAACACCTATGGATGACATATGGGTCATGGGCTACATATATGGGTTATGGGTCGATGTGGTAGTTTCTTATATTGTCATGGTAACACCGATGGATGATATATGAGTCATGGGTCATTATGGTAGTTGCTTATAGTGTCATGGTATTACCCATGGACGATATATGGGTCACGGGTGTGATGGTACTACCCATGGATGACATATAGATCATAGGTCCATGTGGTATTGGGTTATAGTGTTATGGTAACACTTATGGATGACATAGGGGTCATGGGCTGCATATATGGGCCATGGCTCAATGTGGTAGTTGCTCCTAATTTCATGGTAACCCCCATGGATGACATATAGGTCATAGGTCAATATGCTAGTTGCTTATAGTGTCATGGTAACACCCATGGATGGAATATGGGTCATGGGTGTGATGGTAATACCCATGGATGACATTTAGGTCATATGTCTATGTGGTAGTTGGTTATACTGTCATGATAACATCCATATATGACATATGCATCATGGGTTGTTTATATGGGTCACAGGTCAATGCGGTAGTTGTTTATAGTGTTGTGGTAATCCTCATGGATAACATATGGGTCATTCGTTAATATAGTAGTTGCTTATAGTGTCATGGTAACACCATGGATGACATATGTATCATTGGTGTGATGATAAAACCCATGGATGATATTTAGGTCATAGGTCCATGTGGTAGTTGGTTATAATGTTATGGTAAAACCCATGGATGACATATAGTTCATGGGTACCACATTAATGAACATAATATTAATGTTATTCAATCTTTAGAAACATGAGTTACTTTGTTCAACTGGATGACGCGTCTTTCATTTTTCGGGTTCGAATCCAACTTCATACAATCTTTTTATTTAACTTTGTGTTTTTCATTTAAATTGTCAAAGTTCCACTTTGACCCATAAAAAGTTATAATGTTAG